CCGTGCCCAGCACCGACAGGGGCAGCAGGTAGCGGTTCATGCCGAGCTGGGGGCGGGGGTCGCCGCGGCGCCGGGGCGGCTGCGAATAAGCGCGTGCAGCCCGGCCGGCCACGCGGGGAGGTGCCGGCGCCGCAGGCCCGGGTATTCCGGGATCCGGCCTGGGGGCGTGGCACGGGGTCTGGGGGCGGGGCTTCCAGGAGCGGGGCCTATAGGGAAGAGCCCTGAGCGCGGTCACCGCTGGGAATGGTAGTTCCCGAGGGCTGGGGGCGTGGCCGTGGCCGTGAGGGCGGGGTCTACGTGCCGTTCGAATGACGTCACACTCGCCGCCACATAAGGCGCAGAGCAGATCTCTAGAGACTTCAGGTTCGAATCCCACCGCTGCCACTTCCAGACCGCGACCCCCCCCCCCGCTCCTCCCACCGTGTGTCTTCTGGCTATGTCGACCTGTTTCCTAATGTAAAAATATGTGTCGATCAATAGTACCTTCTTCATAGACTTTGTGGGAGAATGTGAGGATTTCCATGCTGAAACCAAGACTTAGTAGCTTGGGGATAAACAACCGCCTAGAGTCCTAAGGAAGAAGAGGGGTGGGGTGGTATGGACTCTGGGGTCTGAAGGAGGAGGGCTGGGGCCTGGACTCCTGGGTCTGAGGGAAGAGGGGCTGGGGGTCTAGACTCCTGGGTCTGAAGGAGGAGGGACTGGACTGGGGGCCTGGACCCCTGGGTCTGAGGGAGGCGGGGCTGGGGGTCTGCACTCCCAGGTCTCAGGGAGGAGGATGAATGCCTGGACCTCTGGGTCTGAGGGAGGAGGGCCTGGGGCCTGGATCCCTGGGTCTGAGAGAGGAGGGTCTGGAGCCTGGACTCAGTTCCAAATGCTCAGAGAGACTCATTGCCATCTATGATCCCGCAGAGTCATCTTCCCTGGACTCCGTCTTGCCGTCTTAAACTAAGTGTCCCAGAGACTCCTGCTTACCTATATGTGATCGTCACCCCCACTAAGCTGGGGTGCACTTCTGGGCTTCTGCACCCGCTCTCACTATCCCAAAGCAATGATATCTGAACCCCAGCTCCTCTCCCTGACAGTTCCCAAGGCTCCAGGAAAGCCAACACTGGAAACAGAACTCGGCCCAGTCCCCCTAACTAGGAGTATCTTCCCCATCATACAAACAATCATATGAACCCTGCTGTAATGAGGCTGCACAGGCAGGAAGGGCTATGTTAAGACTCTGTAGGAGGTCGGGTGCAGTGGCTCAAGCCTGTCATCCCAGCACTTTGGGAGGCCAAGGCAAGAAGATTGAGTTCAGGGTTCGAGACCAGCCTGGGCAACTTGGTGAGACCTCATCTCTACAATAAATTTTTTTAAAGATTAGCCGGGAGGCCGGGCTTGGTGGCTCAGCCTGTAATCCCAGTGCTTTGGGAGGCTGAGGTGAGTGGATTGCCTGAGTCCGCAGGTTCGAGACCCGCCTGGGCAACTTGGCGAGACCTCATCTCTACAATAAATCAAAAAATTAGCTGGGCATGGTAGTGCGCTCCTGTAGTTCCAGCTACTTGGAAGGCTGAGGCGGAAGGATCGCCGGAGCCCAGTAGGTCGAGGCTGCGGTGGCCGGGAGCAGCCACTGCACTCCAGTCTGGACAACAGAGTGAGATTCCAACTCAAAAAAAATTAGCCAGGCATTGTGGGTGGCACATACCTGTGATTTCAACTACTTGGAAGGCTGAAGTGAAAGGATCACCTGAACCCAGTAGACTGAGGCTGCAGTGGCTGTGAGTATGCCGCTGCACTCCAGTCTGGGCTACAGAGTAAGACTCCAACTCAAAAAAAAGACTTTGAGAGCTGAGGAGTGGATGCTGAAGAAAGAAAGAAAGAAAGAAAAGAAAAAAGACTGTAGGACTTAAGCACCCACCATCTCAAGTGTATTAAAGCAACCACATCTCGGCCTTGTGCAGTGACTCACACCTGTAATCCCAGCGCTTTGGGAGGCCAAGGCAGGAGGATTGCTTGAGACTAGCCTAGAACACAGTGAGACTCTGTCTCGACAAAAAAAATTTAGTCGGGTGTAGTGGCACACACGTGTAAGTCCCAGCTACTCAGGAGGCTCAGGCAGGAGGATCATCTCAGCCCAAGAGGTGGAAGCTGTGGTGAGCCATGATGGTGCCACTGCACTGGGCCTGGGCAACAGAGGGAGTGTCCCTGCCTCAAAAAAGTGCAAAAGAAAAAACTACCCACATCTCACATTCAGCAAGTGTGTTTTGGTTTGTTGCTATTTTTTTTTTTTTTTTTTTTTTTGAGTTGGAGTCTCACTCTGTCACCCAGACTGGAGTGTAGTGGCCGCTCCCGGCCACCGCAGCCTCGACCAGCTGGGCTCCGGCGATCCTTCCGCCTCAGCCTTCCGAGTAGCGGGAATTACAGGCACACTCTACCACGCCCGGCTAATTTGCTATTCTTTAATTGATCAAAGGATACAAAGTTATAAAGGGAGAAATGTCTGATGGATACACTGTTTCCAAATGTCTGGCTTTCACTCCTGAGGTTGATGAAACATTTGCTTTATAGACATAAAGTGAAATGTATTCGCTTTTGCTTTGCAGATTTTGCAGTCGGGAGCTAGTGTGTTTTGTGTGTGTTTGTTTGTTTGTTGCTTGCTTGTTTTTCCCTTGGAGAGAGGCACGTTATTTCTCTAGTGCCTGAAAACCATGAACCCTGTGTGCTTGGGTCCCAGCTAATTGTAGTTCCAGCTACTTGAAAAGCTAAGGTGGAAGGTTCACTGGAGCCCAGCAGGTTTAGGCTGTGGTGGCCATGAGCATGCCCCTGTACTCCAGCCTGGGCAACAGAGTAAGACTCTGACTCAAAAAATAAATAAAAATAAATAAATAATTAGCCAGGCATGGTGGTGCGCACCTGTAGTCCCACCTACCTGGGAGGCTGAGCCAGGAGGATTGCTTGAGTCTGGGAGTTCAAGGCTATCGTGAACCATGACTGTGACACTGAACTCCAGCCTGGGCGATAAAATCTTTTTTTTTTTTAGCCAGGCTCGGTGGCTCAGCCTGTAATCCCGCACCTTTGGGAGGCTGAGGTGAGTGGATTGCCTAAGCCCGCGGG